TATCGTTGTTCCCCCCCCCCCCCCCCCCCTCCAGATATGACTCCATGCATGTCACCTCTGCCACATGATAGCCCCCTGATAGAGAAACCTGGCTTGGGTCAGATAGAGGAGGAAAATGAAGGGAGTGGATTTAAACCACGGCTTGGTAAGCAATGACCCTGGGAGTGCCCAGGAATGTGCCAACTTTCTTTAGACTGATGCAAGCTTAAGTTTGTGTGAATGGAAACTGAATTCCATCCTGCTGCCACCATCGGATGCAGCAATATGCATCTTCAGGTACAGGCTGAGTATCCTTTTTGTTGTCTTAAAATGCAGCGGTGGTTTAAAATAGCTTGGAGGGGAAAGCACCAATGCTTTTTCTCTAATATCTTCAGGTCCAGTCCACTTTAGTGACATATATAAATAAATGTTTACTTAATCCTCTTATGAAAAAGCAGACAAAAATGTCTGACTCAACCTGTCATTACTATTCCACTCCCAGTTGTAGATGGTTTGCTTCTTGGAGGTAAAAGACCATATTTTCAATGGATCTAAAATAACGTGAACAACCATGAGAGAATCCTGTCGTGACAGGAGGTGCACCGATACATTGATCCATATCGTATTGGCACCGATAAAAGGAAAATTGACATTATTGGCCATTGGCTTTTTTTTAGCTAATGTGGCCAATAATGTTGCCAATAAATGCCATGTGCATGCACGTGGCCAGCCCGGCAGCTTGGAGGGCAGTATCCACCTGGTAAGTCTGTTTGGGGGAGTGGGGGAAGGGGCATGTGGGAGGGGGGCAGTTGGAGGCCTCTGCAGTGAGGGAGGGATTGGGGTGGGGCATGGGATGGAGCTGGGAGCAGCTCATCTGGGGGGGCAGGGGGAGGATGGATCCCACTGCTGCACGCATCCCTGGGGGATCCTGGGGGGGTGTACCCCCAAATCTTTGTGCGGGGTGAGGGTGGGCTGCCTGCTGTGGGCCAGGGGCTGCGCCAGCCTCTTCCTGGCAGGGGGGCACTGGGGCTGTGCTAGGGCTGGGCAACAGCAGTGCTGGAAGTGGGGGTTACGGTGAATTTTGGGGTGACAGCCCCCACCCTGTAGCCACCCCTCCCAGCACTGCCACTGCCTGCCCCAAGCACAGCGCCTGGCCCCAGCCTGCCCTTGCCCTGTGTACACATCCAGGGAACACATGCCCCCCATGGTTCCCCTGGGGGTGTGTGCAGCAACAGGAGCCGCCCCCCACTCCCTGCATCCCCTGGGCGAGCTGCTCACTGCTCCCTCCCACACCATACCTTGGCTGGGCAGTGCCTGCCCCAACCCCATTCCCTCCCTCACCATCGGGGCTTCAGTCTGTCCTCCCCATGCCCCTTCCCTCCCTGCCTGCTCCCCACAACAGACTTTGCCAGCTGGATGCTGTTCTCCAAGCTGCCGGGTTTCATATTGGCAATCGGATTGGTATCGGCCGATATGACTCGTTAATAATTGGCCGTCGGTATCAGCCCAAAAAATGTCAGTGCACCCCTACTCATGACCTCTCCTATATTTGCTAAGGGAATTCATCCAGAACTCAGAACCTCCTTGCCACATCTGTGCACTGGATTATGCTTATGTACAGCAGTTTCTTTCCCAAAACTGTTCATTCACATTTAAGGGAAGTGAATTCTGGAAACTATCTATTTTGAGAGAAATGTTTGCAAACCTGTCCAGGGAACATTTCGTGCATTGTATAGGTAAATGTTCTCATGTAGCCTTATTAACATATCATGGGGTCCATCACTTGTAGCTTACAAAGTTGTCATTGAAATCTGCTGTCCTGCAGATGCTCACATGAAACTAAAGGCTGAACATCCAGTGAACCAGGAGGAGGGGGAGGAAGATATGAGCGGGACTCAGTTTGTCTGTGAAACTGTTATTCGCTCTCTCACGTTGGATGCTGCACCTGACCATCAGCCCCTACAAAGGAAGAAATCTCTGCAGAGTGAGTACTTTATTCTGGCTTCTGGAGCTTTAATGTTGTGCGACTGAGCATTGGTAGCAAAATGCCTCACACTGAAGATGGCTATGAACTTTTAATTGTCCTGTTTCTTTTATTAGACTCTCTGCAAATGCTACAAGAAGCCTTCAGTTACAGTGTCAAAAACGAAGAACCTGTTAGGAAAAAAAGTAGTCCCACTTCCAAACCCCAGAAAACAAAGAGCTATCAGCCAGAGGCAATGGAAGGAAATGAGTTTGGTGAGTGAAGGTTGGGGGTCAGATTTCCATCTCAGTAACTAAGCCTGTGATGAGTTCTGTGAGAAGGACTATGAATGTAGGTTTGACAAGAGGTTTGGGATGAATGCTGGTCCAGAATTTTTATAGAATTGTATGGAAGTTGATCAGCATCACCAAAAAGTCAGTGTGTCACTAATAAATCTGTACTGTTGTTCTGAACAAATATTTGAAACCAATTTCTGTCTTTAATAATGAAACCAAGATGAGAGGTGTGGGGAGTGATATTAGTGAACATTTGAATTCCCTGTTCAAGTTGTGGTCTGCACTGGGTAGAGCTGGTGCTTACGTTGATGAGCCCATCTAGAAGGCAGCACGTCTTGGCTTTGTGTGAGCAGCTGAGAATTGTGTCAAGATACAGGTTGATCTTAAATTTGAAAATGGGATTAGTTATTGAGTCCTTGCTGTAGTGAGTGCACCTGGTTTTGGGGTTATCTATATATAATATCATCTGTCTAATTCTTGCATCTCCTCACTTTTTTTTTTCTCTGGGCTAAGGTGCATTTTTTTTTTTTTAATTCTTAAGAGTGAGTTGCAGGCTCTATCTGATCTTTGTTTCCTTGAAGTTACACTAACTCAGTCACTTTTGGGATGTCTTTCCTCTATAGTAACTAGGAGTATTAGCTTGTGACCTCTGCCCTTCAAGGTTCGCTTACAAACCAGGGGCAGGCAATTTATTTCAGATGGAGGGCTGCTTAATGAGGTGGCGAGCTTTTGAGGGCTGCATGGGTAGCCCTGCCCCTTGACAGTTGTCCCACTCCCTGGTTACCATCTTGGGAGTGGAAGTCCCACCCCTAGCCCCTGACCTTTGCCACTGGAAGTCCCTCTCCTTGCCTCTGGAAATACTCCTTTAAGAGTGGGGGTTGCCATCTGAAAACCAGAAATAAACCAAATCATACACTAAAAGTCAAACATCTACTATAACATTTTAATTTTATTACAAAAATATTGTTATCATGATTTGTTTGTGAACTGTATATAGAGGTGATTGCATAATAACTCAAATATATTCTTAGTCTTGTACATTGGGTGTGGGGGGGGTTGAGGGGTGTGGCTGTGTGGGGGTACAGGGTATGTAGGGGTGTGAGGGTGGGTGGGGGGACCCCCCGCATGCACCCCATGGCACAGAAGCAGGCCCGGGGCACTTGTAGCTGGTGTTGGTGCCTGGCAGGGCCAGTGCTGCACATTGTGGTGAGGAATGCAGCCCCTGCCAGGTGGTCTCTATAGCGGGCACTCTCAGTCCCCGCACCCATGTGACGGGAGGGAAGTCCCACGTGCTGGAGCTGGCTGCCTTCACTGCCCCAGCTGGCTCCAGCACATGGGGCTTCCCTCCTGTGATGCACGTGTGCAGGGGCTGCGTGTGCGCGGTGGGGACTGTCTGTGATAGAAACCTGCCCGGAGGGGGCTGTGTTGCTCACCGCGATGTTCAGTGCTGGCCAAAGCCGTACACAAGTGCCCCGAGCACCGCTGCCTGCTCCTGCTGGTGCCACTGCTGTCTGTCTGCCTGGGCTGCTTGCCATGGACGAAATGTGGGGGGGTCCCCATGCCCCCCTCCCTTATACCTGCTACACATTGCCCACCCGAGCTCTGTGCTGCTACTGCCCCCCTGGACACGGGCTCCACGCTGTCGCCAGCTCCATGCTCCGACCCATCTGCAACTCTGCTTCCCCCAACAACTCTGCACCTGCCACTTCCCCTACCTGCTGCCCAGAGCCAATGGGACACTGGGGAATCAGAGCAGGACCCTGGTGGCAACAGCAGCCCTGCTCAGAAGCTGTGTGCTGGTTGGGCCCTTCCTTAAGGGTAGAAGCAAGGTGCAATAGGGCGTGTTGGGGGTGGGGGTATATATCTGGGCATCTCGCTCTCACCCTTATAGGTAGAAGGACTGGGCAGAGTACAATTCGTTGATGGGCACTGTGGGCTGGATGAAAGTGTCTGGTGGGCTGGATGTGGCCCACGAGCTGTATTTTGCCCGCATCTGCTGTAAACAGAGCCAGATCTACATATGGGTTGCTAGGCAAGCAGCAAGAACAAAGTTGCACATTCATTCCCAAGCTGTAGAGCAGTGGTCTCCAACTTTTTAAAGTAGATCAATTCTGGAATTTTAAAAGCAACCCAAGATGTACTGCAGTGTTGTTGTCATTGTTCTCCCCCCACCCCCTGTGTGCCTAGCAGGTAAGGAGGGATGGGGGGAGGGCAGATTGAGGCAGAAGGAGAAAAAATTATTTGCTGCCGCCCCGCGCGCAGGTAAGTCTTTGGGGGAAGGGGCAAGGGGAAGAGAAAGGGCTGTTTTGGGCAGATCAAGACCCTAGCCCCACTCCCTCTCTCACCATGGGATTCTCAATCTGGCCTTCACCCCTTCCCTTCCCCAGACTGACCAGCTGGGCTGGGGTGGGGCTGGGTGCATTCACACATGCCCCCAGCCCAGGATCGACTAAAAGAGGCTCCCCGATCAAAAGGTCAAAAAGACTCCCTCATCAAAAGAGGCTCCCCAATCAACTGGTTGGGGACCACTGCCATAGAGTATTCCAAAAAGGTAGTTTTTCTTGCCAATTGATAATCTGGCATATTTATTCTCTTGTGCACATGTGGTAAAATTGGATGATATCCTGCACTTGTTTCTCTCCGAGTTTGTAGATGAATGCTAACTTTGGCAGGCAGGTCATCCAGAGTTAATGGCAAAATTCTAGATACATATTTTTTTTCTCTATTAGAAAAATGTGACGTATCTGAAGGGTCAAATATCAGTGAGGAAACGAATGATTGTGAGGATGAAGAGGAGGATGTGAAAGATGAAGTTCAAAGCCAGGGGTCTTCTGCTTCAGAGGATTATATCATTATCCTTCCTGAGTGCTTTGATACCAGTCGTCCACTAGGGGAGTCTATGTACAGCTCTGCTCTCTCTCAGCCCAGTATGGAAAAAGCATTAGAGATTGATATGGAGGTTCTGGTTCCTGAAGGTGAAGGCCAGCCACAGGTCCAAAATATCAATGATATTTTAACAACTTCACAAACCCTGGACACAGTACCATTGACTCCAGAAGTGGTCAGCACTGTACCTCAACAGCAAAGGTATGGAGGGAGAAATCTTTCAGTGATGTGAACCAAATTATGTTAAATTGTATTTACTTGATTTTAAGCGTTCTGTGGAAGGTCCTGGCCAGTGGAACTGAGTGCTGGGTGCAAACTAACATAGTTTGCTACTGTGCCATAAAAATTTTAAAAGCAAGCATTTTGGTATAAATGCCTCAGTGATATCCACAGTTGAGTACCCCTTTGAAAGCCTGTGATGACTATCAAGCAGAAGTTGCAGATGAGAAGAGGGAAGGGAAGGTTTTGCCTGGTTTTTGTTTTTATTTTTATAGGGTTTTTCTTCCTTTTCCACCCCCGCCCCCTCCACAGGGATCCATCCTCTCTTCAGATTCACAACATTCAAGAAACAAGCTTGTCAGCTGCTGAAGAAATCATTTCAACTGCTGTTGATCAAATAAGAGAAGGTATTTACTGGTATATGCAGTAACTTCCATATGAGATTGCTTCTTCGATTTCTTGCACACAGCAAATTTTAGAAACCACTGTCATAGGAAAAAATAGAGTGCTAAACCAAGTACCAAATGCTAAAGATTAGCCCATGTAGTTAATGTTACTTGTTAAAAGTAATCTGCTCCAAAAACTTTAAATACTTTTTACAAAGAAAAGGCAGGAAGGCAGTATGATAGTTCACAAGCAGAATGGCACTTTGAAAAGCAGACAGGTCATTTATATATAAATCTTATAAAGCTAATGACTATCTTCTGTTAAGCATAGAAATGTGCCTGAAACGTTGAGCAAAGAAGTGTGCCTTAGGGGAGGGACTTAATTAAGCAGAAGTATAATGGTTTGGTGCATCACCTCAAAACGAGATCTATTTACAAAAAGTAGAATGGAAGATGTGAAGAAAACTTTAGGAGAAAGTGGCAAATGAAGCATTGAGCTTGGCTAAGCTGGGTGAGCAGAGAGGGTGTAAGGCACTGAGGTAAGACTGAACAAAGTCAGCTGTAGTGAGGGCTAGAATTTTTTTTTAGGGCCTTGGAGATCAGAAGAAGCTTTAACAATTTCGTAAACCTGTGTGGCACTTGCATAACTGCATTTTTGGCACTTCACGTGCAGTTTGGATTCCACCTAGCTATGCTTGCCCTGCATTTCATAGCTTCATAGATGTTGGGGTCAGAAGGGACCTATTAGATCATCGAGTCTGACCCCCTGCCCCAGGCAGAAATGAGTTCCTTTCTTGAACATGCCCAGTAGTCTGCACCACTGACTGTGTATGTGCCAAAGGAAACTGAATTACCCAGCTATATGCAGAATGCTGGTAAATGGTGAAAAGTCATTTAAAAACAAAAAACCAAACAAACCTCAAACTGACTAGGGGGTGTTCTGACACTGAAGGAGGAATACCATCCTATTTTTTTGTATGGTCTGGTAGTGATGGCATTTGTTCCTGAAGCAGGCCTACTGGGCAGCCACAAGGAGGTGTTGTGTGGGCCCAAGAAGGAAGGAAGGAAGGGATGTCTTAGTGAAGTGGACATAGCCTAGAAAGAAGACCTTGGGTTCCAGCTTGGGCCTCTGTTCCCAGTGAGTTAGAGAAGCAGCCCTGGGAAAGTTTCTGTTTTAATTGATGAATATTAAATACAACATGTAGTGCCTAGCTAGCCAGTAGTCTGGCTTAAAAGGTGAAAAGGCTACCCTTCTCTTTCCCAGCCACCACCACATTGGTGCTAGTGGAATCCAACCTCTGGACAAATGCCAAAAATTGCTGTTACATGGATACACAGGTCTGATTTAGGCATGTGAAGGTGAATTAGAATAGTCTCCTAGAGCACTTGATTCAATGTAGTAGGATTAATAAGGCTGGTTGAATATGTGACTTGTTTTGTTCCTAAGAGACTTAACTGTAAGCTCTGCATTCATTGCTTTCATTCTCCTTTGATTATGATCTATATAGCTGTATTACCATTTACCAGGTATCTTGACGTTTGTTTTCTGTACGTTAAACTTCAGGAGAGGCTGTTCCATGGTGCTTACGAACACATATACTAGTTACACATGAACTCTAGGAATGTTGTTTACTCATTTCTGTTCACCTTCACCTTTTGCATCTCTCTAGCATGACTATTAGATGCACCTGTTCACTTGTTTTTTATTTCTCTTCTAGAGCCCAGAACTGAAGATTTTCTTGAAACGGAGCCTTCAGAAAATGTAAATAATAAATCAAAGTTCCCAGAATACTCAAGGTAATGAAACAGAGATCCATCATGGTTTCAGAAATGTGCCTTTACTTCCTTTTGAGCTAACTGCTACATTCATTTGAGCGAGTACAAAAGGGCACTGATTTAAAAAAAAAAATTTTAAGCTCTTGTAGCCTGTGGAGATGGAGGTGAAACATGTATTATCAAAGTTCTGTTCCATGTTTTGGCAATTGTTGATCAATTACTTAGGACTAGGCTTTCAAAATAGCTCAGTTAATACTTAGATACCTAAATTTAAGTGTCCAGAGTTGCTAAGAAATGAAAATCTTGCTCTCTTGCTTATGTTGTTCTATTGGAGCTGAATTCTCTTGGAAATCCGGTTTGTTTCCTAAGAGTTTGGTAAAGACCAGTACATCTTAAAGATTTAAAATAAGACCTGGTGAGAATGAATATGCTCAGTTTAGGAGCTAGAGTGGCACAATCTAAATGCAATACAGGCATTCTGTTGGGTAGAATTGTTTGTTGAGTAAAAGAGAACCAGTAAGACCAGAAATATTGGTCAGTCTGGGTGTTCTTTTGTAGGTGTTTGATAGGCAGCACTATGTGCTGCTGTATATCTACATATAACTCTTACAAATCTCTCTGGGTGGGTACACTTACCGCTCTGCATATAGTGGTTACATTTTTGGGAAGGTTAGTTTTGGAAAAATTAAATGAATTTTCATAAAAACTCGTTCTTGATATAGTGTCTTTGAAGAAATAGGCTGAACTTCAGAACTATTTAATTTCTTCGCATAATGCCATATCTTTCTCCATTTATTACTAAAACATTTCGTATCTACCTATTGGGTGAAATGCATGCTTGACTGACACCAAAAACATTTTTCCACAGACATCCCCAGGGAAACAGCATTGCAGGAGGGCTTGTTAAAGGGGCTTTGTCTGTTGCTGCTTCTGCCTACAAAGCACTGTTTGCTGGACCACCCATTGTAGAACAGGCAAGTCTCTGCCTCAAAATTAAACATACTGTGAAATCTGTGAATTTGTTAAAATTCTGCATAGGGCTTATTTTCAGTGCAAAAACTCTTTAACTTTTGTAGCAGCAGAATACTAAATGGTAACTCTTTCAACTGCAGCTTTAGTCACCACTTCATTGTTTACATCTTTTGGAAAGCCAAGTAATTTTAGCAGATCATTAGACTCCAGTTCTAACAGTGAAGGGATCTGTTTCCCAGCCACTGCTTAGAACAGTTTCTGTCATGTTGTGAAGAGGTCTGATTTAATGGTAGCAAATTTTGGTGGGCATCCAGATCTCATTGGGACTCTTCTGTTAATTGAATCAAAGGTCTTAGGTCAATGAAAACCCACGTAAAGATCTGTGTTGCTCAAGGCACTTTTTGTAGCTATCTAGCAAAAAAATCAGATCCATCGTATCTCTGAGAGGCATGCATTCCATCCAGGAAGAGCACACACCAACTGCTGAAACTTCCTTAGCCTGACGAAGGGTTTCTGAACCCGAAAGCTTGCTTAATAACTATTCTCCAACTATTTGGGTTGGTCTAATAAAAGATACCAGATTCACCCAAGGAACCTTGTCTGCCTACAGCTACATTGGCACTTGAGTAGAATCTCAACAGATTGGAAAAAGTCTGTTAAGGAGAATGCAGGCAAGGATCTTCCCAGCTATAGACAGGAGTGTCATACCACAATAATTGCTGTAATCCAATCTGTGCTCTTTTTGAATATGGTTACAGTTCTAGCATGTCTCAAGTCACTGGGAATCTATTCATGTTTCTGTTTTTTCCTAATAACATATAGTTGGGGTGAGAGCTTTTTTCCACCTTGCTTATCAGTTTCAGTATTCTATCAGGACCACAATTTTTTTTTTTAATTCTTAATCTGCTTAATGGTTTTCAAAGTCTCTTCAGAAGTTAGTGGATCTGAAAGGTAGTTCTTAATGAGGCATTGTGGAATGGCTTTGATGATACTGTCTTCAACATTAGAATCTCGGTTCAGAAACTCTTGAAAGTGCTCCTTCCACCTTCATTGACGGTGCTGCCTTTTAAAGACTGTTGCCTTTTTAAAACTGCCTGGTAAAGACTATGTTCCATTCTTGGACCTCAGAGGGACAGCTATTTGTATGCTTGGCCCATAGATAGCTTTGGTTGTGCTAAAGAAACTGTGCATGTCATGGCTGTCAGCAAACTTCTTGAATTTCTTTTGTTTTCTCTTCCCATCACTTGTTCTTTCACTCTTGAATTTTCCTCTGGGTCTAGGCTTTAATGTAATAAATTCCTTACTTTTGCTTGGAGTTGATGTCTTTCTGCCATGCTTTGAAGATGCTCATTTTTCTGTCAAAGAAACCTTGAATTTCCCTATTCTTCTCATTGAATCACAGAGTCTTCACACACCTTGTCTTCCCAGTGATCAAAGGTGTCAAGATCATCAGCAAGGCCAGAGTTTGTCACTGAGGCATTGCTGTAGACTCACTTTTAGCAGGGTCTTTCAAGCACTCCATACTGAAATTCTTCCTTGGCTGCTGCTTTTGTTTGTCATTTTGGAGCAGCATGAATGCATATGATGGAACATATCAAATGATCCATCCAGCTGTCTGTCCTCTGTGCTGGTCATATTTCTGGTGATATGGATGTTATGAAAATTCTGGGCACCTCCTACGACATAACCAGGTGCTAGTGTTTTGAGCAGAGGTGTATCTATGATGTCTTTCATTTGTTGTTTTGGTGGAATAAGGCATTTCTAATGATGAGATCATGATCTAAACACTTGCTCAGGAGAAAAATTCCATTTGAATTGACATTTCCCACGCCTTCCTCTCCAAGTGTTCCATTCTGTAGCTCAGAGTCTTTGTCCACGCTAGCATTGCAATCCCCAAGAAAAAATATCCATTTTTGGAACAGATGATAGATCTTGGTCAAGTTTAGAATAGTGTTCTTCTTTAGTTTCATCTTCATCACGAGTTGGGGTGTATATAATGGTAACTGTTGCATATTGTCTGTTGGTCAGTTGAAAACGAAGGGCCACGAGCTGCTCACTGAGTAACAATCTTGGTTTTGAAAGCAAAACCAGTGCTATAGATGTATCTGTCTTTCAGCCTTTCCTTTACAAAAAGAATGGTGTACCCATTGCCATGTTCCGTCAGCTGTCCCACTCCTGCATATCATGGTCTCACTAAGCGTAGCAATGTCAGTATCAAATCATGCAAGTCTCTGGCCACAAGTGCTGTTCTTTGCTCCAGTTGATCACTGTTAGGGTTGTCTATCAGGCTGTAGATGTTCTAGGCTGCAAACTTCATTATTTGATTTAGACTGCAGATAGCGATCCTACTGGATGCATTTTTCCAGTCAGGTGAAATGACTGACAGACTGTTTTAGGGCACCTTTTCTAGCCCTCTCCCGATACAGGGTGAGCAGAGTGGATCCTAAATAGTCCTGTTCAGTCATGATCGCAGCTGCCAAATTGTACACGTATCTCAGTTCTGTGTACAAAAACAACCATCATAGTCATCATCTGTGTATGTCTGGCTAGGGGGTTCAAGTAATCAGTAGCCCTGCCCCCATTGCTGCTCATCCATCACCATAGGACTTGCTATTGAAGGAAGATTCCTGCACAGTCTTCATTTTAAGATGGGGATGCTGTTTGTTGCACATCAGCAACCATATGATACTTTTTTTTATAGCAAAAGAAACCTTAATCTGATAGCAAGGAAAATCTAGACAACTGGAGGTTTCACTGCAGCCTTCTTCCACCTTTGCAGCCACTGTGAAATATTCTTGCTTCATCTGCCTGTTCTACTGTTGAAGACCCTTTTAAATTATTTTTATATATGGGTCACTGTTAGTATGGAAACCTTGCTTTTGACCTTGCTGCCATGGGTGATCTTACCAGGAGTTCAGAACTCCAGGTGGCATTGCTTAGGGTTATTGGTAGCACCCAGGCCTCTCCTTGGAGTGGTGGTGTCCTTGGAGATGCATTTTAAAAGCTATCACATTTTTCAGCCTGGTCAGCATAGCAATTTTCAGCCTTGTCAGCATAGCAATGAGGGTGGAGTGGGGGTGGGGAAAGAATATCATACCTTTATTTGATAAAGTTATTCTGGCGTGTATTCCATTACTGGGTAGACCAGTGGTCCTCAACCTTCTAGCCCCTTGGGTAGGATGTGGTGCTGGGCCAGTCTTGTGAACTCTTCCAACCCCATGGGCAGGGCTGTGTCATCAGATCTGCAGGGCTCTACGCAGGTTGGGAAATTTTGCAGTGGAGGAGCAGTGGCAGTATTTAGTTGTTGTGGCTTACAGAGCACTGTTGCCCTGAGGTTGAGCACTGTAGCTGTAGACGCAACTACTCCCAAAAGCTTTTACTACTAGAAGCTGCATCTCTGCTAAGGAGGTCTGCTGATCTATCTGTATTAGTTCAGTTGTGCCAGTGGTTCTTTCTAGTCAGGGCACCTCCTGTAACTTTTTTTTGAATTTGACAGTGCTCCAATTGAGAACCACTGTAATGCTTAGTCAGGTCCTATAGAGTGTCATTCAGTTACCAAGCCAAGTCCAAAGGCATATATCACAGCACCTTTGAAACCAGAGGCAACATTTTTTTTATATTGTTTTACAGTAGGGCTCTGAGGCTCTGTGTTATTACTAAAAAGAATTTGTAAAACATAGGATCATGTTTGTAAATTCTATAGCTATAGATTTTACACTGAAATTTCAAAGCTGCATTGCCAGTCCTAGCCAATGTCATTTAGATATTTTTATAGTCCTCAAGTACTCTAATCAAAATCATTTTGTGGTAAAGTGATTGCACACACCAATAACCAAACTCTTCATATAATGGGTTTCTCCCATAGAGAACTGTTTTAAAAAAATATTAAAAGGGCAGAATAAGAGACAGGATACCTCCCCATCCCCCAAGCTACCTAAATTTGTGGTTCTTAATTTGGGTGCTGTTTCCACCACTGCAGCCATGTGGAACTGTACCATACGTCTCCTGCAGAACCAGATCAGGAAATAGTTATAGTAAGAGTGCCTGTCATCTGTCTCATGTACCTCCTTTCAGGAGACAGTGTATGGGGTCAGAGTGGGAAGGACTGCAGTGAGAGTGGGCACTCCTGCCATACCTATTTCCTGATTTGGCTCTCTAGGAAGCATGTGACACCCTTGAAAGGGTTTTGTATTACTCTGGTTGAAAAACATTGAGCTATGCCAACAAAGCCCTTTTACCTAGAATAATAGAAAAGTAGGGCTGAAAGGGACCTCATGGGGTCACCTAATCCAACCCAAACCCCTACACAAGGCAGGAATATCCCTACCCAAACTGTCCCATACAAGTGTTTGTGTAGCCCAGTGGTTCTCAACCTTTTTGGATCTTAGGTGCTCTTCCTTATCTCTTGTGAATTTATTGGCATGCAATTTCAAAAACCTAATTTATAGGTTACTGTGCTTACTTCCTTGCAGAGGGACATGGCATTTGGGATGGGGGAATCATCCAGGCAGCTGCAAGCCTGAGCCTGCACTTACCTGCTTAATTTATCTCCTAACCTCACCCTGGTTGAGAATCACTGGTCTAACCTATTCATTACAATGCTGTCATACACCTACCATAGCCTAAAGACATCAAGAACACCATAATCTGTCACAGATAAATTAGGAGGGCACTGTCAGTGTTCCGAGTAGTCCTGAGCCAGGAAACTTAAAATCAGTTAAAGTATTTTGAATTGAAGAAGTGTTTTTTTTCTTTCTCTCTTTTTTTTTTTTCATCTTTCTCCTTTTAAGGAGCCTACAGCTACAGAAGAGCAGACTGCCACTCTCTTAGCCAATCTGTGTGAGATGGGATTCTGTGACAGGCAGCTAAATCTGAGACTGCTGAAGAAATACAACTATAACATGGTGCAAGTAGTAACTGAATTGTTGCAGATCAATAACAGTGACTGGTATGGCAGCAGATACTGAATCTTCCTGGTGGCAGAAGCACCCGTACTTGAGCAGACTCTTATTAAACACCACAGCAGCAGCAGGCTATTCCTCAGTTTCCTTCTGTTTTGGGGCTGTTTGGGTAGAAGCATTTAAGTTTAATTTGTCATACGCTCTTTGATTCCTTTACTGAAATCTTAAATGCAGCACTTGTCACAGCAGTTCTATGAACCAGACCAGAATTTTAACTTTACTTTAGACACCAGATAGGTAGGAGAAGAGTTTTAAAGTCTGATTTGATACTAAATCCCTTTGTACCTGGGAGTCAAGTAGAATGATTTTAAATTTCAGGACAAATGAGAACTTCCCCTTTTTTATTGTGTGCAAGATACTTTTAAACAGGTGGAAGCTTTATGTTGTTGACCATAATGTGAACAAGCATAGGGAGAGAAGCCAGACATTGCTGCAAAATCTCACCTTATCTGTAAGATTTGTCCACAGCTAGCAGAATGTCACTTGTAGTGACAGTTTAAGTAATTGATTTTTTTTCTAATGCATGATGGTACTGTAACAGTAGACTATATACATGCATAAAAAGCATTCTAAACACTTCTTTAAAAAATGTTCACACAAGACAAACCATGACAGATTTTTTTTCAAATGCTGAAACCTAATGTTAATTTAAACTTAATTAAGGCATTAAAATAATGCAGTGAAATGAACTATGGACATTAATTCACCAGCAGCTCTTGCATATTGCTAGTAATGATTGTACAAGATTTATCTTCAGCAAAAATACAGTCAATATAAAATATTGTTAAGAATGGAATATAAGGCTATACATACCTTTTAAGAATCCTTAGGACTTTCTGCAGAGTGAAGGTTTGATGTGTTTTCTCTAAATTATTGCAGTGCAAATCTTTTGATTGTTTGATATTATAGAGAAAACTTGAATGTGTAAAGCCTGTACTGGGGTGGGGGAAGGTGAACTGGAGTAATAATTAGGAATGAGGGAGGGAGCATCAGAGGTGGGATTTTAGTTAAGTTTGTGTACAAAAAGGCAGTAAACTCCAGCAGCATCAACTGCTCAGTCTCCCATCATGGATTGACCAGGATATCAATATATTTCTGGAAATCTGGCCCACTTTCTCTTGTGGGTACCATTTTGGTTTGGATAGTATTTGATACAGCTGGAAAATTCCCTTTTAAACACAAAGCAAGGTCAGGGTTTGATTTCTGTAATCCTCAAGAAACCATTAACATATACTACTCTGCAATGGTATGCCAACAGATCATACCTTGGAGCCTGGATCTGGCAGTAGTGTTGGCTACATTAGTTGAGGAGAAAAATGCACCAACTGCAGCACAATTAAAACCACTGATAATTAAAATGTTTTAAATCCTGATCACTGCTGGTTCAAAGTAAGGTGTTGCTATTTTGACAGAGTTTTGCTAAGTCTGTATCAGTATTGTGATTGATTAAATGATCATTAACTGTAAAATAAACTGAAAAAATCTGTAATGTAGTCCTTTAAAAGATGCATATTTTCTTCAATTACTTTAATGGTATAATACAGTTTTGTTTTAATTTTTTAATAGAAGTGCAAGACAACGTTCTGTTTAAATGGGTTTTTTTAATACTTTACAGAAAATACTCCTTCCCAGTATACTTTTCTCTGCATTGGACCAGATAATTAGATAATTCCATTACTTGGCAAATTTTGTTTGTCTTAACACTTCTCCATTACATACAGCACTTGTCCCGACCTATGCAAAACTTGTCCCTAAGCACTGTTGCTTTCACTGACAGAAGAATAAGGAGGATGACCTGTAATATCTGGCAAACCATCTTGCCAGGGAGGCATCTTATTTGACTAGGATTGCCCAGCAAGCAATTCTTTCTGTTTTATGTACCTTTACACTTACTTTGTATTTTTTTTCCATTTGAGCTGCTTCACATAATAAAACACTAAAGTATTTGTAATAAATGGATTTGTTGCAGTTATAAATGTCAGTATTTCAAAGGCTCTTTAGTTTTACCCACAGCCAAATGCTTGGGTTACTTTTACCATTACAAATCTAAGCTCTTCTCTTGTAGCCTGGTGTTTTATTTTATATATATATATTTTTTTAGGTTAAAAAAAAAATGCTAAAATTCAAGGTATGTTTCTGTTGGCTTTGTATATTTTGTTAATTAATGCATGATATATTTATAATACTCTTTAGTGCAAATAAAGTCTCTGTATATTATTTAGAATAAGCACTTTAAAGTCTTCAAATGTGATGGGAAGAGGAGGAAGAAAATCTCTCAATCATAATAATAAAAATGTTTTTTTCTTTTTCCCTTCTTCCTGTCTGCTTGTCCAACCTGTTTGCTAGTTAACATGGGGGGTAGGATCCTTCCTACCTCAAGTACAGTATTGGTATTTTGGCATTAGAGGGTCTTAATTTTCATTGAATTTAGTATATCCTTTTAACAAGAAGGCACCAAGTTAACAAAAAGTATTTATCAGGCCCTCTAGTCTTATAACGGTCCCTTGGTTAACTTGCATAACTTTATTCTACTTCTCTGTGTATAAAATTGGACATGACTTCTCTGCCCCAGGACAAGAATAATTTAGCTCTCTCAGACTGTCAAACTCACTTTGTGCCCTAGGGCCAGATCTGGACTGTGGGGTGCTCTCAGCTGGATCCAGCCTGGAGCATGGGGTGGTTTCAGCCTGAGGCACATAGTGACAACAGCTCCAGCTCTGATGCAGGCAGCTCTGGCATTGGGCAGGTGGCAGGGCCAGCACCTGAGGAGGTAGGGTCACAGCAGTAGCAATATACAAAGCATGCAGAGAGCAACGGGGGCTCTACCAGCCCTAACTTGGCCTCCTGCTGCTAGTGACCATGTCCACAACTCCAGATTCTGTAGCAGGCCACTTCTCCTCCTGCTCCATCCTGACCAAACCCCCACAACTTCTAGTAGTCCAGTAGGCCTAACACCATGGTTCTGCAAGATGGATCTGGCCTATGGACCAAATGTTTTTGATTTGTCAGTTATGTTAAAAGATTAGCTAATTCATCTCTTGCCTTAACCTGTTTTGGGTTTGTTGGGTTGTTTGTTTGTTTTTTAATATCCAGTAGAACTGTAAGTCAGGAATCTTACTTTTCCTTCTCTAACAATAACTGTATTTACTTGATTCGAAGACAAGGATACCCCCCCCATTTTTAACATGGGGGAGCCCTTAATCTTAAAATTGCATAGGCAGGAAAGGGTGTGGGGCAGGTGGCTGCTATGGCTCAGGCACCAGCTCTATCTGAGGTTAGGGCTGTAACTGCAGCTACTGCCTACCCCACCCTGCCATCTGCCCCTGCTGCCTCTTCCCCTTCCATCTCACCCCTTGCAAGCAACCTCTGCTCTCCTGCTTGCCCCTTTCCTCCCCTCCCCCCACCATTACCCTTGCTCTGTGCCAACAGGCTTCATCCATGCTTCAGCCTGGGGAACAGCCCCAGCCACACCATAGTAACAGCAGCACTCGGTGCCCAGGCCAGACTAGGGATGGAGCCTGGCAGCAGGTTACAAGGGCAAAAGGAGAGCGGGACAAAGGACCTGAGGGCTATAGAAGAGGGCAGGCCCAAGCAGGGGGCAAGTTGCTTATACAGTTAATCTCTCCTTTTTTTTTCATACAAAAACTCCCGTTCATTTTTCACTCACCCCTTGCCCATCTCTCTCTCATGCCCAGGGCATACAAAGTTTATTCATTTGTGTCAAGCTGGAAGCATTACAGAATAGAGTCAAGCAGCTACTTTCTAGAAGACAGAAATCAAATAATTAAATTTCTGCTACATTATTTAAAGGTTTAACTAAATGCTACACCCATACCACCCATTCCTGTGCCTTACGGTTGCCTGTGTAGCAGTGGGGGGGGGGCAGGCTGCCCCCCTTCAGCAGTGGTGGGGCATGAATCGGAGATGGCCAACACTTTTGGGTTTTTTTTCCATATAGAGCATCTAATTATCTGGGGGGGGGGGTCTTCAACATAAGTAAATATGGTAGCTTCTGTTTGATTTACAATTATGACCTTAGCCAGTCAAGTAAGAAAGTGCCATGAAAGCTTCCTGCTGCTGAGCAACTCTTTTTACGTAAGTTTGCAGCTAGCACAGCAGTAAAAAAAAAAGATGCATTCTGTAGCCCTTTGAGTAGTCCACAGAAGTGGGTAGGGTGCTGTACCTAGGGGCAATGCAACAGTAGACAATTAAAAGCTCTGATGTAGCCAATGTAAAACATGAGCCAGAACAGGGGTGGTCCATTTATGGCATGTTTGCCATGAGGCAGATAGGGGAGGGAGCACAGTAGCACAGCGCAATGCAACAGATTGGGTAAAGGAAGGCAGAGTGCAGAGCTTCCCTTCTGGCACATCTGCCAAAAAGGTTAGAGAATAAGAATATGGGCACAGTAGAATTACACCTATGGATGCCACTGTCATGGGTCCTTTATAC